CTGCGCGGCGCGCCGAGGGCAGCGAGTAAGAGGCGGGTGGAGGGGAGGGAGGGGCCTGGCTTTGCCGTTGAGGGGCTCCCCAGCCCTTCCTCCCCTTCCTCACGCCGGGGAGTTACCAGCGAGGGAGAGAGGGCCGCTTACCGGCCGGGACCGTCGGCGCTGGGGTTGCTGAAGGGCGCCTAAAATGGCGGTGGGTGATGGGGGCCGTGCGCGACCCGCGGTGTGAACCCCGGCTCTTCAGCCCACGGCATCTGCTAGGGGCGGGGGGATGCCACAGCTTTTGCCACCCCCCCGCACCCCATTTCTCTACAAGTTTCCTGCTTTTTTTTTTTCCCCTCTAGATAGTACTATCCTCCCCTATATTGCAAACCTACTGCTATCAGGCCTCACTATCGGTTCCAGAGGTTTTCTTTCCCTATCGTTGCTGCGAACTTTTAAACCGTAGTAAAATATTAAGCCGTGGTTTAATATTTATAGAATAGCTGGAGGGAGCTTTCTGTGGCCTTGGAAGTTACTGGTCTGTGCCTTTCATATGAGGAAATTCAGGTGATTTGTTCATGAAGGACAAATAAAGTAGCCTGCAGGACAGTGTCTGTCCCGCATGGCACGCTCAGCTTAGGCTGTTCTGTAGGGCTGCAGGTCAGGCCGCTTCCTTCTCCATCAGAAGTTGAGATTTCTGTGATGCTATTGATACAATATTCCTGAAACAGACCAGTACAGTATATGTTAATAGAAGAGCTGGAAAAAAATACTGTTAGATGTTTGTGGGCCCTCCTAGGCTCTATTTGGCCATTAGGTTCACGGCAAGATTTGGCTGATGCTCCTGTCTTCCCCTGAGCATCCCGATGAGTGTCCAGCTCCCATTAAATGAATGGCTTTGCTATGATAAATCGCGGTCTGTAGGCCACTTCAGAAGACTGGATATTGTGGATGTTTGCTGTGCAGTGACTTTAAAGACTTGGGATTTTCAACTTCTTTTCAAACACAGCGATGTAATTAATAAATTGGATGGCTTTGTGACTGCCTGTAAAGGATGAGGGAGTCAAAGATCAGTCTGTAGAATGTGGTTTACTGATAAAGTTGATTGTTCATCTCATCTTTTTCAGAGGCACTTAATGTTGAACTTGTGTCACCTCTGTGTCAAGAAGAATGTATTTTGGTCAACAGTATCAAGTATTGCAAATAGGAAAATGGATTTTGCCTCTGCTGACTGAGATAATAAATTTCATATCAGTACCTTAATCTTTTTTTTGAACTTGGTCTAGAATATTGGCTTTAATTTAATTTTCTAGCTAGCTTCTCTTCGAGCTTGCTGAAGAGTGACAAGATGCTTGGCAGTAGAAAGATCCAATGTATGCGGAAGGATTAGGTTCTTCACTGTTGATAATCCATTATGTCATGCTTAAAGCAAAAAAAAAAATATTCCTTTGGGGCATTGGCAACAGGTGGCAGGCATAATACAGTTTATGTGACTGTAGGGTTTAATGTTAAGGTTGTGGTATTTTAGGATGAATGAATATGCTGATTCTGGGAATACAGGTGGATTGTTGGTTGGTGTATATATGGGTGAGTCAAATCCACGCTGCTTGAGAAGGTTTCCTGGTGCGATCTCTGTAGCAAGGTAGAGTAATAGTTTTTTCAAGTGCTTTGCACCCAGTCTGGTACAGGGAGGATTTCTGTTTGAATCTTCCTTCTTGAGAAAAGTCAGAGCTGCTTTAGGCACGTGTCCATAGCTAAAATATTTTTAGAGGGTAGTTTATGCTCACTGTGGACATTTGGCTTTTTAACCAAATACAGAAATATCAGTCATTTTAGAGATCTTCATAAGTAATTTTTGTCTCATGACTCTTGAATTATTTATGACTTACGATATCTGTGCACCTCCATTTTTGTACTACTCGAAAGAACTTTAGGTATGGATATTAATAGGCTTTCTCCTACATTTATGTTAAAAAAATGTTAGTAGGACTGTAAAGGAAAAAAGTTTATGCTTTTAATTAAGGCATTTGCATGCAGTTACATAATTGAACTTAAACGTGCTCAAAGTTTGCCCTGCTTTGGACTACCAGCTGAATTATTTTACCATCATAAGAGAAGCCCAACTATTCTCTACCAACATTCTGGAAAACCTGTTGCTAAGGGAACCACATTTTATTTTTTAAAACTTTCCTTTGGGAAAGCAGAAGCTTTTTCTGACTGGAAAGCTGTTGGAAATGAGCCAAGGCCTGGAAATCAGCAGGCTTCTTGGGGGAGGTTAGGACTTCTCCAGGAAAACAGAATGTACTGGTCTGTGCTAGCATAATTACTATTTAGAGTCTAAAATACAAGAAGATAACAGTGAAGATAAGTTCAAGCAGTTTAAAATACACTGTTTATGTGAACTGAGTTATACAACTAACACAGTTTTGCCTGCATATGTTTCTAGGGCCAAAAATAATTATCTGTACTGATTTCTTAGGTGTTTGTGAGTTGAATGTTAGACTAATATTTGGAGTTTGTTTTCCTGTCCTTTGCTCCCTAGTTTCTGAAGTGAGGGTTTTTCAGAGGTGCTCTGAACAGTCGTAGAGCTCCTTGGTATTAAACTCTCATATTTATGCTACACGTGTCCGTTTGTTTGATAGAGTCATCGCTGCTTTGCAGCTCTCTGAGGAGCACCAGCTCTAAGACAGGAGGAAGATCTGAACCTGCTAAGCAGTCACTTAAGAAACCGAAGTTACCAGTAGGTCGATTTGATGAACCAGAGGAGTCCAGTATAGAGAGGGAACCCCTGGAAAGTAAGTCATGTTTAACAAAATTGAAAGCCATGTTTTAAAGGCAAGACCCTGAGGTGCAGTGCTGATGTCAGTTTAAGAAGAGGGGTAGGCATTCAGCACTCTTCAGAGTCACTTTCTAAGCTCAACGGTTCTGAAAAAACCAGAGGCAGGGCAGCAGGCACAAGTTGGAGCAAATGATGTATGAGGAAAAAAGTCTTCAAAACAAGGGTGGTCAAACATTGTAACAAGTCACCCAGAGAATCTGTGATCCCTCTCCTCTTGGAGATACTCAGATTTGCCTGGATGTCCTGACCTAACACCAGCCTTGCTTTGACCAGGGTTGGGGCCAGATGTCTGCCTAAGGTGCCTTCCACCATAAACTGTTCCACGATTCTGAGAAATGTAGCTGGTATTTGCCTATTATAGTACAGCTATAAATGGCGGTAGTAAACTCATGAGGGCACCAGCTACTTTTTATTACCCAAAAAGCCTGTTTTATTTCTTAGTCCACAAAGGATTTCCGAGTCACGCTGTGTTTCGTGGTCAGTCTTTCTCTTAGTCTTGCAGGTAGTTTTGAGAAGCAGCAACAGATACTGAGATTACTGAGCCACTCAGTGGGGTCCAGGGAGGCCCAATGAGCTGCTATTTGTGTTGTGTTGCAGTGGCCTTAGTGGGGCCGCATGTAGAGAACCTGACAAGGTTGAGGCAGAGATACATCGCTGCTGAAGTCACTAGAAACAGACACTTTTTTTATCAGACAGGAGAAAGACAGAATCTGTTCTTTCCTTCTTTTTAATTAGATGTCTTCCTTAACTAAAAGTGCTAGTCATGCTTTATCTTATTCACCATAGTGTGATGTTCTGCTACTGTTTGCCAGTAGTGATAACCAATGATTATCTATTTTGAGGTCTCTAGGACAAGCATTTTTAATATATCAGTAGATTACTATGAATATCCAGATGAGAAAATGACTGAAAAATTATAGTATCATCACCAAAATGGCTGCAAGCAATTTCAGATTGTGACTCACTTGAGAAGTGACTCAAAGTTGGAGTTACTGTGTAAGCAGCTATTTAATTCTTTAAGTCCTTTTGTTCCCAAAAAAATAAATGCCATCACTGCTTCATTTAAAACAAATGCATAATTACTACCTTTTGCTTTTTGCTTAGGTGTTCTATGTTTACGGCAAGACTGAAGGTTTCTTTTGGCTTTAAATTTAGTTGTACCTGTGTACTTTTTACATGTAACACTAGCAATAGTTTGTTAGAACGCTGACTGCCCATTGTGTCCTCGATGGTTATTTGGAAAAAACGTAAGAGTTAAAGCTGGCCATATGAATTCCCAGTGCTGTGTAGCTATCGTAGAGAAATCTTTTGAGCTTCTGCATCCACTGTCAGCACATCAGTACTGCTTCAATATTGGGGTGATATCTACAAAATAATATTAGATGCATTTGCGCTCCTGTACTGCCAGAGGTGCTCAAATACTGACATTTCCTATCCTGGTCTGCATGAATTTTTAAACGGGTTTCCCGATATGTCATTCTGTATAGCCTGTAGCTACATGAGTTTCCCTCCATCACTGTCCTCTTTTTTTTCTCTGGTCTCAGGATTTCTGTTGTTGTCTTTTCTCATTTTCAGCCCTGCTCCTCATGACGCATCTTGCCCACCAGGGCTGAGTTAGGGACACGACTGAGGGAGCCCTGAGCTACGCATATATATGGGAGGCTCTGGAGAATCAGCGTGGCAAGGGGATGCGTGGGGTACAGTGAGTTTCAGGGAACCCTGCAATCTAGTCTGAGAAAACACTCAGCCTAGGATGGTGCTGTGCCAAAAAGTACTTCGTGGCTTGGCGATGCCGAGTGGGATGGCCATTGTGCAGCATGGGTGGCCTGAGTTACTACTCCTAAGAGAGGGCCCTGAGTAAGGGAGCGCTGAGTAGCAGAAGGATGTCGACTGTGAGGTGCAGAAAGCTCTATGGTGTTGGAGTAGGCGGCATAAGCTAGTAGGGTGCTGGGAATAGAAGCAGCACTGCTAATGTGTAAGCATAGCACATCACTTACCAGAGAGATTTGAAAGTCCCGTTCATACCCCACTTACAAAGAGTCTCCCTCCCCTGAAAGGGCATCACAGTGACTTAGTGAGCTTAGGTTAAGTTTTAGAAGGTAAAAAGTCTAATTTAGCTATTTAGGATTTTATAGTACCTCCTGTGACTGAGGTATGTAGTCTGGTGTTGATAAACACCAACACGCTATTTCTTGAAAAACATACCAGCATCCATGAAAACATGATGTTTTAAATACAAGAATAATTATAAAATCTTGGCTAAAATTAAAGCTAAAATTAAAACCTGAGTGCTTAAAGTTGGAGACCTAAACAAACACAGGAAGCGACCTGGTGTTTTAGATGTAGCGAACACGTGTACAGCATACCTGAGTGATGCAAGTTCTCGCTATGAGTTCACAAGAAACCGTGGTGCTTTAGTACCTTTGGCTATTGAGTTGCTTTTTCATTTGCATAACTGAATATGATAATATATTCCTGACTGTAGTCGCAAAACTCTGAAACTACTGTTGTATGACTCTGGGAAATGTTTAACTCAAGGTTGCCTTTAAAAACGAGAGAACTGATTTTGTATTTGAAAATGAAACTAAGAGGCAAACGTCATAGATGGTGACATCTTTATATTTGTCAGCATTATAGGCATTTTAATGAACTTTCCCTGTCATTTTAGAATTCCCTGATGGAATCAATCCTGCTACAAAAGAGAGGGGCGGACCTAAAGGCCCTGAACCTACACGTTTCGGAGACTGGGAAAGAAAAGGACGTTGTATAGATTTTTAATGTCTAAATGTATCTGTACTGCTAATAGTATTTCTAGTTGTTGAAAAACATAATGTACAGAAAAATCGCACCTGGATTTGTTGTGAAGCTTCTTGTTTCTGTCTCATGCTTGTGATGAATTTTCTGAGAGATATTATGTAAATAAATACCATGCTGCCACCCAATTTTTGGAGCTGCTCTTTGCTCAGTGTACACCTGATCTTTAATGCTATTTACACTGTGCAAGTATAGCAATGTGAAACTGGTGGTCAGGATCTTACTGGGATGTATAAGGGCTTGGATTTCTTTATGTATTTAAACATTTATGTAGTGTCTTAAAAAAAAAGCTCTCTGAAAGAGCTTTGCGGTTCATGAACCTAGACAGCATTCATCAAAAGTACAGCCGCCTCCGAGGGGATCAGTATTTGGCTGATGTTCGCGTTTAGCACACTGGTTCCTTGGTAAAAGCCCCCTTCATCAAGAACCATCGCCCCGTCTCTGCTAGGGTGGGTTGGGGTTTCTTTCCCGTTTGTGCAGAGGGGATCGAAACTCTGTTTTATCTCGTCTCAGACTGACGGGCTGTAAATGGCGTGATGGAAACAGAGGCTTAACTCTGAGAGGGTCAGCTCGTGATTGCAGGTGGTGTAGGGGTGTTCTATATGCAGCTTCAGAATGCTGTTCTTTATAGCCTGGCTTACTGCGTGCTATTTGCATTATCTTTTCCTTGATAAATGGAGATGTCTGTTTCAAAACCGGCTAAATGCTGCTTGGGGAAAAATAACATTACTTTCTGGTACCTTATGGTCAAAGGGGACTAATGACATTAGATGATCTAATATTGCAGGACTTAAAACTAAGTAATCTGGCATTGCACTAAATATCTTCCAGTCAGACTGAGCTCAGTGCTGCATTCAAGAATTTGCCTAGTTGTAAATACTGTAGTAGAGTGCAAATCTACCACTTGTGTGGGTACTTATTAATAAGGATAAGCTGTCATTATTAAAATGTGTGAACATATGCTCCATTTATTTCTGCGCAAGTTCTTTTTGATAGCCTAAACAAATGGATCTTCTCTAGTCTTCAACTGTAAATGTTTTCTTCATCCCTTTGTGTTCCCTTCCTGGTGTTTTGCTGATTTTCCAACCTCTTCTCCTTTACACGCTCCAGCTCATACATTCACAATTCCTATTGGCTGCTTTTGCCACAGCACCACAGTGAGCACTAAAACGGAATAGAGGTCTCTTGGAGAGCCCAGGACAGCCTCCTGTTTTATGGCCTACATTTCTTTTTCCTATATGGGTATTTCTGCCTTTTGCTATGCCAAAGCAAATTGTACCTGGATGAAAGTCAGCTTTACTTCACGATTTCTCTTGTTTTGCGTTACTCTGGCTCTGTGTAAGAATGCATGGCTTTGCCCAGCTTTGCCTTTTGCGTGATTTTATTAGAACATTAAAGTGTGTTAGTCCTATCACAAATCTGTACAACCTCCCTAAAACTCACCCGACTTGTGGCCAGTGGGGAAGTGCCTCACTGAAATCTCCCCGTTTGAATACCCAGTGTGTATTTTATTGACGTAGTATCATGCTAGTTGCGAGTTGAGATGTTGGACTCGCTGTGACGATGCCCTACAAAAGTACCGGGTCTGTTCAGTTAGGTTTATCAACCGTCGCTGTGACGATGCCCTACAAAAGTACCGCGTCTGTTCAGTTAGGTTTATCAACCAAATACCTCGCTGAAGAGCAAAATGAGGTTTACTAAAGCCTGTTTTTCATAAACGATGTTAACTAGTGGTAATTATATTGTCAACCTTTAATCTTCTGTAAACTTAAATTCTGCAGCATGGTTTGGATATTGGAAAATTGGTCTGTATTTATACCCAATTCATTCTAGTTCCCCTTCTGTAGTGCAACAGTTATGATTTCCCAAAATCTGTTGAAATTTTCAGTCACCTAAAGGTACGCTGGGTAACCTGTCTTTAATATATGCTGTTTATAAAAATACTTATTTCTAGTAATGCTTTGCCTCTCCAGTTGCTAGTGGGTTGGAAGATACTTCAACACATGTTCCAATGGAAAGCAGAAATTTTAATTGGAAACTTCTGCCTTTTCTGCATCGTTATTAATAGGCTTAACATCTTAATTAGCAAAGAGGCGGCGACACCGCAGTTACTTTATTTTTGAATTCTAAATCTTCTCCTTATCCATGGCTTGTTGTACGAGTTCATTATCTTCTCTTCCCAGGTTTTACCCTTCCCAGCACATGCGCCGTGAACGTTTACCTAGTTCCACTTCTTGGCATTCCTGATTTTCAATTCTAATTGCTACCTTCAGCATAGACTGCAGCTGCAGTCCTCCCTGGCTGCAGAATTGCGCCTTTTTGATTTAGCATGTAAAGAACTGGTCTCACTTTTCCATGGTTTTCTTTATGTTTCAGTTAGTTATCTTCAGTCTCCCCCTGCTTCGTGATTAAGGGCTGACCCGAGAGCTGTCCAGGCTCCTGCGTCTCTGCTTTCATGCAGGTGATGACACGACTGCCGCTGTCGGAGCCACAGGCGGTTGTTCTTGCTGGAGCTCGGGCGGGCCCTAGGCACTCCCTGCCCGCATCCGTCGAGCACCGCACCAACTAACTCAAACTGCCGCTCTGAGCAGGTTCCCCCTTCCCCTCGCTGCCACCCCAACTCTCCACAAACCAAATCCCCCTGGCCGGATCCTGCCCTGCACCCCAGCCCAGGGGAAAGGCAGCAGGGGACCCCGTGGGAAGGCTGAACCCTGCTCCCCAACAGAGAAATCCTCCCTTGTGCCCTTGCCTTTGCTCTCCTGCGCGGTCAGGGATGGAGCTGCCGCCAAACACGTGCTTTTTTTTTTTTTTTTTTTACTTTTTTTAAGACTTTTTTTTTTAAAGACCTCACGTCATGCTCGTGTCTTGGCTGGCTCTGTCCCCGGCCGCACGCAGGGGGCACGGCACGAGCGCAGGTGGGTGACAGCCCAGGTCAGCTCAGCCAAAACCCATGGCCAAATGGCAGCCGTCATCCCCCTCTGCCCGGTGCCCTGCCTGGCCAAGCAGGGATGGAGCGCCTCCCCTTCCCCTGACCCCCATGAGGCTCCCGGGGATGGCAGCGCCCAGGGGACCACGGGGGGACCAAAGCCCCCCCCATGCTGGCACATGCCCAGCTGGCCCCACGCTGCCGTGGGCACTCGGGCAGGGCAGAGGTGCCACATCCCAGCCCCAGCGGGTCTAACCACGGGCACAGCCTTACATCCCCACAAGGACATGCGGGACATGTCACTGACATGCCAGCGACCGAACGCCCTGTGGCCACAGCAGCCGTGGGGTCCCAGCAGTGCCCAGAAGCTCTCCTTGCCAAAATCACGAGAAGGAACAAAAAAAACTCTAACTAACATTGCCTTTATCAAGGATTTAGACCTGTTGGCTTGGAGAAATGCTTGGAGACACAGAGCCGAGCTGTGCGGAGCAGCGGTTCCCAGGGGTTGGGCAGCCCCTTCCCCCTCCACTCTCAGCCAGGGCTAGTGGGGCCCCGTTTGGGGATGGGCTGCAAACCCCAGCACTGCTGGGCTGCGCTTGTCCTCTTGCTCTGGCCAGCAGCACTGAGCCTTGGGGCCACGGGGTGCCCAGATTTTTTCCTCTCCCTTTCCCAGGTTGCCTTCCCCGGCAGCCCCGCACTCCTGTAAGTGATGCCCAGAGCCGTGGTGCCAGCCCGGGAGCCACATCCCCAGAGCACTGTCCGTTCCAACAAGACAGAGTGCCGCACAAAGGCTGGAATTTTGCTTTCTTTCAAAAAATAAAAATAGCTGTCAAGGAGTAGGCACTGAGGAAATAGAGGATACCACTTCAGTCTTAAGGAGCTTCAGGCCCTCTTTACCACCTCCCAGGCCAGTGCCAGTAACCACCAAGGATTTGCTTAATTTGGTGAGGGAGTGTGTCAATAAGAGAGAAGAAACTGAACATTTGGGCAAAATAACATGCAACAGCCAAAGAGTGAATGCCAGGGGGCCTTTTTGTGTTGTGTGGCATTTACCAAAAAGAGGAGTCCTAGGCTCCGGTAATAACCAAGTCCAAAATAACATCCTGTGGTGCTGCAAAAACACTTGTGGTGTCTGTCAAAACCAACCATGGTTTGAATGCAACAACCACTACAATGATACTGTAGGGCATAAACATCACTTCTGGTTTGTTTCCTTCCAGTGTCTGCAGTTAGGAAAGCAGCACTTCAGGACTTTTTCAGTGCTCTCTTCCTGCTCTTCCCAGGCGATTACCATTCGCAGTTCTCCGGGATATAGCATCAGGGTAAAGCGATGACTTGTGGCATTAGCCATTAGATTAGCCACAGGTATGTTTTTATCGTAAATACTGATTGAATCTATTTTTGTGGCTCTTTTTGTTAGTGTAACAGTATAAAGCAGCAGGGGTTGTATCCATTTTCTGTTCTCTTAAATTTCCAGGAGACAAAGGAAAATTGTTCTGCCTGTGTAAGCAAATTCTTGTAGTACTGGAGGATGCCTGCTGCTCCGTTTTGTTTTCTTTACTAAAAAGCTGTATGTTGCATTTCTGCAGTAGGTTTTCTTTTTTAAAGTTAAACTTGTTTCTGCTAGTTTGCATAGATATGTTTGCTACGTTATTAAAATTACGAAGTCTTTATTGTTTGAAGGAATTGCTCTGTAATTACTTTATTACAAAATATATAAAGTTGCACTCTACAGTTAAAGCAAATGTTTGCTATATATTGCCTTGTTTGGAAAGTGTATATTTCAGTGCTGATTTTACTAAGTTAAAATGCAAGGTTTAGTATGTAGTTGAATCAGAGTAAAATTACCCTTTATGGTAGCAGATGTTTGCAAAGGACCTTAGAATGTTGGTATAAAACTTTACTACTTTTTCAGTTAACTGCAATAAATGATCACAAATTCCAGCGACCTGTAGTGACAGATATGTTACGTGTCTTTTTATGACATTTATTTTGGTATTGGTATTTAAAAAGGACCACAACACCTTGTTCTGCAGCGTCAGGAAAATAGCAAAACTGTGTGTTCATTTATAAGAGAAGAAGATTTGGAAGTTTTGTGTTTTTTGTAATTGTTCATCAGTCATTAACATAGCATCAAGCATATCGAAGCATAAGGAAGAGATTTGAGATGTGTTTCTGTGTGCTGATGGTGACGAAAACCAT